GACTGATACTGTGTATATTTGCTCCAAAGTGTTTCATCATAATATTTCAACCAGAGAAGAACTCCAAGAAATATTTAATGAATAAGAAATAACTATGACATGCCTGCCTTAGGTTAGTCATGGTAATATACATTTGAAACAGCTCACATTTTTGTAGATACATCTTCAGCCTTTTCTTTCTTTAATAAAATGTGCCTATTTAGGAGTAAAGAGTAAAAAAAAAACCCACAAATTTCAAAGTATGTTTTGTTCTCTTATTTTTTGCCATTTCATCTGACTTTTTTGTAATTACATTAAATAAATCTAAATTGATATTTTAACTAGATGTGCATTGCTCTCAGTTCTTTTATTGCAGTACCTCATGAATGATACTTCCAGCAGTCAAACATCTTTTAATGTAAATTTAAATCACAAATTTAAAGAGAACAGCTAGATCAATATCATTTGCAAAAAATTATATTATTATTCATACAACAATGTATTGAGATTTCAATTCAAATCATCAATACCCTTAAATTATTAAATACTTTAAATTGAGAATTTTGTAAATTTTCAAATACTCAAATACTGATAATATGTAGTCCATTCTTTAATATGTGACATAAACATAAAGTAAAAAGGTGGACGTTTTGAATCAATAAATACTGGAAGGAATAAAAACCACCCAGTAATGGTGTTGTGCTGTAAACGACTGATCAGCTGATGTATAACAGAGGAGGTACATAAACCTGTAAAAACAAATCTACACCCATACAGACACCTGAGAAATGGAAATGAGGTTTGTTTCTATTGGCCTGAGGTTACCTATGAACCTAATTGAATTGATCACAGTTGTCCTCAGTGGATGTCTGAATGGTCTCAACCCAAGGATTGAGCCCATAGTGGCTTCAACTAGTGCTGGTGTTAGTACTGAGACATCATCTATGACATGTATCCTGCAGATCACTCCCCTTTAACTTGTTTTCTCAAACAATGGTGATTTTCTTAATGGTGGCATCTTTTCAATTCATTACAAACTGCACACAGTGATTTATAACTACACCACCAAGCCTGAACCTTCAAGTTGCTCTGACAGGTTAGTAAAAAGGAATGTGAAAAAAATTAGAAAGGTTATATTAAATTAAAAATAATCTGTTTGCAACAAAAGTAGGGAAAAACACTTTTGTTTGTTTGTTTGTTTGTTTGAATACAAATTTTTGAAGACTAATTTTTGAAACTAATACTAAAACTGTCAATCTGCATTTGTTGATTCTAACGCAAACTAAATTTCTATATTCTTAATGATTTTTGAAGCAAGCATTTTTTCTTTGACGTATCAGTTATTTATTAATCAAACGTCCAACTTCTGTGATGTCTTTAATGCATTGTCAAATATATTTTTTTGTTTCATACCATTATTGATTATTTTCTTGTATTTTATTATACTGATTTATTTCATGTGTCCATGCTCGCTTAATTAGTTGTGTGCACTGCAGCATTGATGCTCCGGACCTGCGTTTTGCTCGTGACATGAATTTTGCCATTGAGCAGATAAACAGCACAGAGCTGCTGCCGGGGATTAAACTTGGATATATGATCTATGCTTCAGTGCCTGTGTCTGTGCATGTGGAATTTCTACTATCAAATGGACAAGACCCTGTGTTTTACAAAGGCACCACTTGTACTCAGTCTGGAGTGGTCTTAGCTGTTGTTGGTGAGTCTGGATCCTCACCATCCGTCAGCATGTGACGCATCATTGGATCCTTCAACATCCCACTTGTAAGAACATAGTCTGCTTTTATTGTTGAGAGAACAGCTAAAATATACAGCTGATTTTAAATGCTATTTTGATATTACAAAGCCATTATATATTTATTTATTTATTTATTTATTTATTTATTTATTTATTTATTTATTTATTTATTTATTTATTTATTTATTTATTTATTTATTTATTTATTTATTTATTTATTTATTTATTTATTTATTTATTTATTTATTTATTTATTTATTTATTTATTTATTTATTTATTTATTTATTTATTTATTTATTTATTTATTTATTTATTTATTTATTTATTTATTTATTTATTTATTTATTTATTTATTTATTTATTTATTTATTTATTTATTTATTTATTTATTTATTTATTTATTTATTTATTTATTTATTTATTTATTTATTTATTTATTTATTTATTTATTTATTTTAGGTGAGCCACTTTGCCACCTGTGCCTGTCTGTCAGATAAGCAACAGTTTCCAACATTTTTCAGAACAGTTCCAAGTGATCAGTTCCAAGCTGATGCTCTGGCCAAGCTAGTGAAGCACTTTGGCTGGACTTGGATTGGTGCTGTTTCATTCAGACTCAGATTATGGAAAATATGGCATGGCATCTTTACTTGATGTAGCACAAAGAGAGGGCATTTGTGTAGAGCAACCAGTGATTAAAACACAATTGTCGATACATTTTTTTTCTGATTATGCATGTTAATGTTATTAACACATTAAATTAAAATTAAAATAATCAAAAGTTAGGAAATCCTACAAAACTAAAAATTTGACCTGTATAAAAT